AACCAAAGAATTTATTCGCCTTTTTACTCGCTGTGCTAGCTACTGCACGGGTTATGGCCCATGGAGCGCCCACTGCATCCGACAGTAGTCTTGATAAAAGCTACCGGAAAATAACCACAGCACTGAACATAAAACCGGTTGCGGATAAAGGAAAAATTACTGGTGCAGCGGCAGCAAGCGATGCGGCTTTCCGTGCAGGTATTTTGTGGTATGCTTATGAGTATTCAAAGGATGAACGGCTGAAGGCCGCGGCTATGAAAGGGTCGGCAACGGTTCAGGAAACAGCGCTTGCCGGTAAGGCCGCTTCCTGCCCGGATTACCTGTTGTATGCATTGGGTAATGGCAGCCATATGGTTGGAGATTCGTCTTACCATACTTCGTTGAATGCAGCTGCCGCATTGTTGAACAATTATTATGATACACTCGCCGGTGTGATCGTTTCTCCGGAATACAGATCCGCGGGATGGGTAACTGCCGCCAGCCTGCCCAACCTGGAATTATTATTCCGGGCAGCAAAAAAAACAGGCATGACCAGTTATTATGACCATGCGCTCAAACATGCTACTACCTTCCTGGTGAATTATGTTCGCAATGATAGTACCGTTCATCCCGTATTGATGTATGATACTGCCGGCCGGACATGGATTACACCGGCGGGTATGCCCGACAGTACTTTTGATGCAGGTAGCCAGGCCGATGCTATTTATGGTTTTACCATGATCTACAGGATGACAAGGCGATGGGAGTTTCGGGTGGCTGCAGAAGTGGTGGCCGATGCCTATATACGCAGGTTCCCGGCGGGACGGATTCCCTTAATATCAACTGCCGACGAAACGGACACCTATAGTGATGTCCGTTCGGCTGCGATGACGGCTGCCGCGTTGCTGGAACTGGGAGGTCTTGGAATAGATAATAACCGGAAACGGATCTATTTTGCCCAGGCAAAAAGTATCCTGAAAACCCTTGCCAGTCCTGAGTTTCAGGATATGAACAGTAAACATACAAGGCTATTAAATGCAGGGTCGGTGACGTCTCCGGCTTATCAGTCTATTGCAGACTACTATTATTTACAAGCCTTATTAAGGCTCAAAAAACTGGGTGAGCAGAAGCCGATTGATGAGCCGCTCTGAAAATAGCGCCATGAAAAAACAGCTTGGCTGATTCATGAATATTACGTAACCTTGTAGCTGTGAATACAAAAATGATCCATACTTGTTGTTGCGCCTGCCTTCCGATCCGGAGACAGTAATGACGTGTATGATATGTTATAACGTTATTAGCCCTCTGGTTTTT